ATATTTCTCTGCATTGTTTACATTTTTTTGCAAGTTCATAATGCATCAACAACAATTTTTCAAAAGATGTTTTCCATTTGGAGAAAATAAATGAATCCTGACAGCAAAAGCTGTCTACTGAGAAAGGAGCCCCACTGGAAGTGAAGCTACTGCCTGAGCAGTCCCAGAAGGCTAAGGGACATGCTGGGGGCCCTGGGAGGGAACCCAAATCAGCACCCAGAAGCCACAGTGGGGCAGTGGTCACAAGTCCACGTCAGCTGGAAGGTTGCACCAAACTTGTAGGTCACTATAAATGTTCCTTTGTACACCGTCTTCCCCATTCACCAAACCTCGCAGTCTTAGGGCCTAGGGGTGGAGGCAGGTGGGGATCTATTGATTAAGAGCAGTGTTCAGCTTGCTGGAAAGCTCCCATCTAATTCCCCAGTGAAGTCAAATACTGTAAAGTGGAAATCTTTCCAAAATACCCTCTCAGTTTCTCCTAGAATACCCCCATCCATCCATCCATCCATTTCACAAATATTTATTGAGCACCTACTGTGCACCAGGAACCATTCTGAGTGCTGGGGAGGGATGTTCAGTGGTGGTGACCCCTGCAGATGCTTGGTATGCCTTTGTGAATCCCACAGTCTGTGGGAAAGACAGACAACCAAACGTTGTTACAGCACCATGGCAAGTGTCATGATAGGGAAGATCTGGGTTCTCTGGGCACTAGGTGAGGGCTGGGAGCCGCCAGAGGTAATGTGCCAGCCAAGCGCTAAGGTGGGGTGGAAGCTAATCCACAGAAGAGGATTTCAAGTAGAGGATTCCAAGTACCAGTGTACGGAAAGAGGGGGCGAGTGAGAAGTCTTGAAAACAAACCACTCACAGTATTAGGAGAGAGCAGACACTCAGAAATCCCCACCAGAGGTCTGTGACACTGGCCTCCCTTTCAGAGTGCTGGATGGTGAGGCTTGCTTATACCAGTGTGCCCTCAATGGGGGCTGTCATTAAGGTCTCACCTCCCCACCCCACCACCCATCTTCCCAGAAGAGTTTGGGTTATGGGTTCAGACAGAGCTTACTGCAGGTGCCTGCTCCAGCCATGGGTGAGTCACTTAACCTCTCTGAGCCTTGGTCTCTTCATTTGTCAAGTGGGACAAACAGCAACACTTAATTCACAGGGGTGTTGTGAGGAGACAATTGTGCCCTAGCACCAATTCCTGGCATGTCAGAAGGTCTTAATAAATAAAAACAGTAGTTCTGCCTGATTGACCATGTCATGGTGATGGTCAAAGTTCAATGGCAGGCATGTGGGGGCCCCACCACAGTATTCTATTTACTTTTGAGTATTTTTGAAATTATGGTAAAATGTGTTTTTAAAACCTACTGTCCATATTATTTACTGTAGTTACTGCTCTGATCCATGAATGTTCTCATGCATTGAAAGGAATTAGAATATTAGAACAGCAATAACAGGAGACCAAGACATTCCTCCAGAATTTCTCATTTTCACCTGCTGGGTTCATCTTCCCCAATATTATTCAGAAGGGCCCCTGAAAGAGACCCCCCCCTACCACCCTGCCAGCCCATCCTGATTCCGTGAGCTGGTTCCAGTGCCAACATCAGAGCTCCAAAACCAAGTACAAGAAGGGAATACTGAAAGAGTGATTTATTTTTAATTTAAAAAAAGAGAAATTCAAGTATTACTAACACTTAAAATACGGATTGAAACTGTGCACCCAAAGAATTAAAGTGTGCATCCTTACCTGTGACACATAAAAGAACATATTTTCTTGCCTAATATTCTGGAAAAATGGCAAGTTGAAGGGAAATGTGTGAATTAAACCTTGTCTCTTTTTGTTCCAATGAGAGGAGTCCTATCTCCAAACTTGGTTAGCCAGCTGGAATATAGATACTAACTTGAATGTGCAGATCCTTTGAAGAATACAAATACAAAAACAATAGAATTTTTTTAAAACTATGGATTGACAGTGGTATGCATGAATTATTCATATCAAATACATTTATTGGGTGTAAGCACTCAAAAAAGGTTTGTCCAATAGGACCACATGGTGAGCGAAGTTTGGAACAACCATCTCCACAATATAGCCCCTCTGTGGTGTCATCCCAGCTCCATGCAGAGGAGAGCCTGAATGTTTTATCTTGGGTGCCTAAGGAACCCATCTGCTCACACAGAGAGGAGAAAAATTTAACAGACAGCATAATTTCTATCCAAAATTTCCAGGGCCATGTGTGTATCTCATGCACTCAGACAGATCTGAGCCACATAGATGCCGACCCCGGGAATGAAGAAAGGACCCACTCACTAATCAGGGAGAGCATGGCTCCCTCACCACCACCAAGAGGGAGAAGGGAGAGCTATTACAGGGGAAGGTGGTCAGCAGGCCCTAAGGAGAGGGGTGGAGGGAGGGTACTGCTGGACACAGACAGGCCCAAATGAAGCATTTGGAGTTTGGCACCTAAGGGTCTCACTGGGCCCTCAACATGCCCCCAGAGCCAGGGCATCCAGCCACATTCCTCAGCAGTCAGAGCCTCTGGCTGGGGTGCTCTCCGGAAGTAGCCTGGGGCAAAGAAATAGGGCCAGCTCCTCCTCTCTGAGCCTTCAGAGGGTGCAGATGTCTGGAGTTCTAGGGGTGGATGGGCCCCATCTGTGCAGTCAGGCAGCCGCACCACTTACAGGTCTGAATTCAAGTCAGAGCTCAGCTTTGTGAATTTGGGCAAGTACCTGGACCTCTCTGAGCTCTGATTTCTCCACTTCCCAAGTGGACAGAATAACATCTTTCCTACTTCCAGGGAGATGCCAGTACAACAATCCCAACCTAGAACAGTTAGAAAATGGACCTAAGAGCAATTAGGAAATTAAAACAATACTTTATAACTATGATTGATATTAACTCTCAAGTAGAGATGAGAAGGATGTGTCTGGAGCAAATGGTTTCTTCCATTCCACATATACACCAAGACTGATGTCAGACACCTGTTCTCCATCTCTCCCCACCTGATCCGCAGGGAGTCCTGAGGTGGGGTGTGCCTGAGACATGGAGAGAGTGCAGACACAGAGAGAGGTTATCCTGAGCTAGTGAGCTCCTGCCACTGGCCTGCCTCCCTCCTGCTGCCTCATCAATCTATCATTCTCTTAAGAGCTGACACCTCTGGCAGCACCTCCCAGCAGTCCGGGCATTAGAATTGCAAGAGGCCCAGTTGCACTGGAGAATACAGATGGAGGAATCTCAGATTCAAATTTGTCTAAGTACTGTGAAAAGCCAGACCCAGGCAAGGCGTTCCTACTGCCCTTCTGCCAAGGGGGAGTGGTGGAGATTTTGTTAGAAGTACAAATTGCTTCTTAATGCAGAGGATAAAACTGGGCTCAGGCACCTCCTTAGAAATTCTTCCTGCTCCCAGGAAAGCCACCACTGCATGTCAATTTTAATTTTTGAAATTTAAACTGAGGGCTTTGTGTCTAAGCTCCATCTCATCAGAGGAAGGGAAGGAATAAGTCAAAAAAGGATTAGGGGCCCAATGGGGATTGCAGATCCATAGCAATTAGACTTCATTTGGGTCTCAGACATTTGGTTTTAATTGCATTTCTGGATGATACAATCGACAAGGCATCAGAAATTGATACCAATGCAAGTGTAGATGGAGTTGGCTCTGCCCTCCCTAGTTCCTGGGCTCAGCTGGCTTGGGCTCCACAGTCAGTGAGGGAGAGTTGGGGTGGGGGATTGGGGTTTGGCTGGATCTGAAACTTGGGGGAAGGTGGTTTGTATAACAAATACATACACCGTTTTCCCCCTAGCTTTTTGAGCACTTTATCCTGGACTCAAAGCAGATGCAATCTTTGCTTATATTCAAGTGAATGACAATAAAACATTATTCAAATAAACTAAGAGCATAAAGAGGACTATTGACTGTGACAGGGCTCAAGGCAGGGGGTATAATTGTCTTTCAAATGCAATCACAGCTTTCAGCATCCTCCAGGAACTAAAATCAAGCACAGTGCAATTTGGGGGCGCACATACAGCTGTGAATATTGTCACACACCACAGTGACATGGACCTGCAAACACAGGTGTGTGCACATGTGTGACATGCATTAGTGATGACAATCACAACATTATACCTACATAGGGTGTGTGTGTGTATTTCCAGCTTTACACAAGTAACACACACTCTGGGATTGCCTCTGTGTACACACTCATATTTCTCTTCAAACACCTGGTCAAAATGAGCCCAGGAAGTATTAACATGTTGCTAACTGCTATTTTGTAGATAACTTACTGTTTATTTGAACTCAAAGATCTAAAAAGAAAAAAAATCAAAACTATGTGGGGTGTTTCCTTCACTTATGTGTGTGGAATGGTGAAAGGAAGTTAAGACCAAACACACACATTGGGGTTCAGAGTGGGAGCCCCACCACTGTGCACACAGGTAGGGAAGAGCCCAGAAAAGTCGCGTCCCTCCCAGAGGGGTATGTCTGTCTGTTTTACCACACAATGCTGGGAGAACTCTGGGAGCGGAGGGACCACAGAATTGCCTGGGTTTACCAGCTCTTTTGAAAGCTGCGGATCTAGCTGGTGTGTGAGTAAATGAACAGGTGCTGACTACACTCTGGGCCTGAGTGGGTGTGTTTCTGCATGGTATTCTACAATTTCTTTTAGGGCAAACATCTCAGAGATCATGCCTCAATCCTGTCTCCCTTTATGCAAACATGCTTCTTCCCCTTCCTCCTCCAGAAACTCCTGCCCTTTGACCTCCTCCCACAAGGCTGTTAATCTGGAGATCCACCGGTCAGCCTCTAACTCTCCATCCACCCTCCTTGGGGGAGACCCCCCAGGAGAAACTCCCTCAAAGGGTGGAATGCTGCTACCCCATCTCCTCACATCTTTTCAACCAACCCCAGGAGACAGCACAAGGCAGTAGCTTGGTAACCAGAGCATAGACAGGGTAGGGCCCCAGTTAGGTCTTTATGCCAAAGTGCACTTCCAGAGGCCCATCCCTGGGGCCACAGTGACAAAGACATCGGAGCCCACAGTCTAAAAACATAATTTAATGCGTCGCGGTGAGTCTGAGTCAGGAGTGCGGTGGAGAGGTGAATTTTCTTTTGCTGGGTTTCTGCTGTGGGTGGTTTTGGCTAATGGACAGGGAAATCTGCACAAGTATTTCGGGTCACAAAGAAGGACGGCCCAGGGGAGCTCATGCTCACTTTGGCCTACGCCAACGGCCAGGGCTGGAAGCCCGTGGCGTCAGGGCAGTCGGAGGAGGAGGGGGTGCTGGAAGAGGGCAGGTGTCCCGCCAGGCCTGTTCATTCCAGTCAGGCTTGTAAAGTCTGCCGCAGCCACTGCCCTCGCCGCCGCGGCCGCCGGGATTTAGGCTCCTTTAGTCGCTTGGGCGACCCTCCCTCCCTCTCCGGGCTGGGGACAGGAACCAGGAGCACAGCCCTGGGCGTAGTGAGTCGCGGAAGTACTGAAGTTAGGGGCAGGGCGGGGAGGACAGCGGGGATGTGTCTTTTCCAACGATGTCAAGACGTGTCATGAAACGAGAGTGGTCCTAGCCATGGAGCAGCAAGCCCCGGTGAGCGTAGGACGGCCTGATGCCACCCCCACCTCGCGCTTCTTGCGCCTCTAATCCGGGTACAGAAGAAAGCCAGAGAATGTGCTGTACTTGTTGTTATTGCCTCCATGCGCCTTTCCGCCGTCCAGCTTCACGTACACTTCGTCTCCTGAATCGAGGTGCAGCACCACGCTGTTACTGGCGTAGTCGTAGTTCTGGTCGGCGTCCTGCGCGATGGCGCTGGCCCGAACCTGGGGTAAGCCGCCAGAGAGGGTATGCCGGTGCACCTCTGCCTGGGCCCTTACCCAGGCCCCCGCATGGCGCGCCCCCTGGCCCGCCTCTGCCCGCCACTCCAAAGACCACACTCCCACCCAGGCTCCGCGCTCTCTCTCCAACTTAGCCAAACTTCCTCCCAACCCCCTCCTCTCCGCAGCCCTCAGCTACGGGAAGGATGAAGTGGGTACTTCATGCACACCCAGCGGGAAGGGAAGGAACCAGGGCCCAGGGACGTGAGGAAAGAGGGCAAAGAGGTGTCCGGGGCTCACGGGGAAAGCTAAAGAAGAATGAGGTTTCCTAGGAGGAGCCCTTTGGGCTGCAGGCGAGTACGCAAGCAGCTGCAGAGTGCAGTTTGGGTTGCGAGGTCTCTGGGCGCTCCCGCCATAACCTTCAGCGCTACATTTGGATAAACGCTACCAGGGCGCACAGGGAGGCGGGACCCTGTGGCGCGCTCCCTCCCGGGACTCACTCGGGCGTTCGCGGGTGGGAAGAAAAGAGGCTGGTTTCCCAAGCGGTTCGGGGCACGGGGTGGAAACAAGGGTCTACGGGGACTTGCGGGGACCGGTGGAGGTGAGAGGGTCACTGACCTGCCCGTTCTTGCAGAGGTCCGCCCACATGCTGGTGCCGTCGCCGCCGCGCATGAGGATGTGGTAGGTGAAGAAGTAGATGCCGCGCACCTGGCAGCTGAACTTGCCGGTTGTGGGGTCGTAGTGATTGCCGAGATTGGTGACCACGTCGTCGAACTTGAGAACCTCGTAGCCTTCGTGAGGGCTCTTAAGACCCACGTAGAAGGCGATCTTGGGACCGCTGAAGGCGGCACTCAACGCGCCGGTCACTTCTTCGTCAGAGTCGCCGCCGCCCGCGGTTCCGCCACCCACCACCCCGACACCACCTGACGCACCCGCAGTCAGCTGCAGGCCCGGCAGCCCGGGCCGGCCCGAGTCGCCCTTCTCACCCGGGGGGCCCCTGGGACCAGGAGGGCCCGGCTCTCCAGGGGGGCCCCGCGGCCCGGGCTTGCCGGGTCTCCCCGGGTCGCCCTTGGGTCCTTGGATGAAAGAGGGCGGAGGGTTGGCACTCAGGTCCTGCATGACTTCCAGGGTTGCAGTGCTGGGTCCGGGAGGCGGCGCCTTGGCTCCTGCGGGCCCCCCACCGGGTGCTGCGGTGTAGGGGTCGCAGATCATGCGGCAGGTGCCCATCATCTCGTAGTGCGCCTCGCCGGGGGGCGCCGCCTGCAGCAGCAAGGGCACTGCGATGAGCAGCCCCAGCGCCATGGCCAGGAGCACGCCGACGGCCGCCAGGCAGGCGCGCCGCCGCCGCTGCCACAGCCGGGAGGCGACCGCCACCAGCTCCTCCTTGCCGCCCGGGGAGGTAATGTTGAGGCGGCGCGGGCGGCCCCGCTCCCCGCGCTCGGGGGCCGATTCCGCGGGTCCCGGCCGCACCCCCGACGTGGCGACCCCCTGCTCCGGGCGTTCAACTACTTCAACGAGAGGCGCCCGAGCCCAAACGCCGGTGTCCACCGCGCTGGTGCTGCTCGGATGAGCCGCGGAGCCCGGCGCGCATCGTGGGGGACGTACAGGACCAGCCCAGCTCCCCACCGATCCCGGAGGCGGCGGCGGAGAGAGGCGTGTGCGGATGGGGCGTCCCGCGCGGGGTCGACGGCGCTGCCTCCTGGTCGGCTCGCCGAGACTCCAGGCGCACGCGGGACTCGGCTGGGCTTGGCGCGCAGCGAGGACGCCCTGGCTCCGTGGCACGCTCTGCTCCGCTCTCCCGCTGCTCGCCGGCTCCCGCGCGGAGGGGGCACCCAGCTACCCTGACGTAAGGAGCCCGGGGCTGAGCGGCGGAGGTGGCGAGGCAGCGCGCGCTGCCATCACTCAGGAGACGGAGCCCTGGTGTCATCAGCCTTCTGTCCTCCTATCGGGCGGCGTCCTTAGCAGAGGCGGCGAAGGCGCGGCTCCTCTTGGCGGCGCCTGGGAGCCACAAGTGGGCGCAACGGGGGCAGCACCATCCCCAGTGCCTAGACACACCCACTCCGCAGCCACACTCCCGCGCCTCCCACCCAGCACACACTAACGTCCACTCGCGCACTAACGGACCACGCAGTCAGCGCCCATGGCCACCCAAGCGCCCGGAATCCTCACGCCAACAAGGTTCTTAAGGGGTCACCTAATCCGTGCAAGCAGAACCAGACTTCAACCCACCAAGGGGAACCTCAGTTCTATGAGGCCCTCCTGAGAAACTTCTTCAGAATGGAATAAATCTTACTTCTGCAAGGCCTTTCTCACACCTAGCCTGAGGACTGTACACTGTTAAATAGCTCCAGAAGACTAGCACCCCCAACTCTTTGAAAAGTCCAAAGCCCCAAATCTTTGTCTATTAACTCAGTCCCTTTCTTCTACCCAGAAAATGAATGGCCCTCGTCCTCTGCATAAAGTTCTTGTAATGCAAGTCCTTGACATCCAGCCCTTGGGGAAAATCTTGGTGCCCTTGGCGCCCACTCCCAGGCCACCACCACCACACAGGTTCTTTTGGGCATCACCAACTCCCTCCTCCTGAAGTCGATTTCCCTATTTAAAAAATAGTCTTAAGCCATTCTGAGCCAAAGTCTTGAATAAGCTGTGACACCAGATCTAGATAAGAATTAGCCATCTCCAAGGCAGTGTGTGAGGATAAAGGAAAGTTGGGGGATGCTTCTGTGTATTGAGAAGACCTCCAGCTCAGAAATCAAAAGCCCCTGCCTTCTGGTTCTGTTCTCGCCCAGAGCAGCTGTGTGACTGGGAGCAGGTCATTCCCTTCTCTGAGATTCCATTTTCCTAAAGGGCTAGCTCCTGCTCCATCCCTCCCCGAGGAGGGATGCACTGGGCTGGACCTGGGAGGAGAGTCAAGGGCTGATACCTGCTTTTGGTGGAGGAGCATCAGCATCTCTGGAACAGTAGAGTGTCCTCCTGAGGCTATTGCTTTGAGAACAGTTGTGTATCAGGTATTGGTTCTTGTGGGTTACTTAAAAACTCATTTTGTTCCTCTGGGTCCCTCTGGGTCACTCTGGGTCCCTTCCCCATACCAACCCACGTTGCTCTAGTCTCTTCCTTCCTTGGTGTATTTCCAAAGGCACAGCAGAAAATCTGGCGCCTGGAAAGACCTCAGTCTATATTTGTGGAAGAGATGACTAAGCCAACTTTAACCAGGAGAGAGGGGAGAGAAGGAATTCACTTATTGGGTACCCACTTCACTTATTCCTGTGTATTGGCAAATTTCTGCCCTTATACAGATGAGAAAACAAAAGCTTTGAAAGTACAAGGTGCCTGCACCCACATGACAGAGCTGGACTCCTCCACACACCTAGACCGGGGCTCCAAAAGCCAGGTAACGATGCTGCACTGACAGCTAGCTCCTGGCCATGTTCTTACTGGCTTTCTGGGTCCTGGGTCCTAGGGCTTCCCCTGCCTAGGGCCACACCTAGAATTAGTGAGCTAAATGACCCTAGGAGCCATCCCGCTTGGCTCCAATCCTGGTTTTGCAATTCTGTGTCCATGTGACCCTGAGCAAATTACTTCACCTCTCTAAGCCTCAGTCTCCATATGTGTAGAATGGGAATGAAAAATACCTATCTCAGAATTGTTGAGACATTAAATGTGTTCATTAATATATAGGCCTTAGAGCAAGAGCTGGCTCAGTAAAAGCTAGCACTTACTATTAACTACTGATAATTTAGACCTCTACCATCAAGCTGAAGACTACCAAGAAGGGACATGTGTGCAGTGAGCTGGGTCAGGGAGGCAGGCTTACTATTTAAGAAAGAGAGAGATCTAAAGATCACCCACACTCAGTCCTTCTCAGAAGCAGAGAAGGGGGACTGGACCATCTTTTACACATCTGGCCTAACTGTCCTGCTCTGACTTCCTGCTCTCCATCCAGGCTGCCCTGTCACCAACCAGCTAAACTGGACAAACATTCTCTAGGCAGACACTCACTGAGTTCGAATTCCCCAGCCCTGCAGGCCACCATCCCCAAATCCTGATGCTTTTGCCCCTGCAGGATCTGGTCTGCACATAGTAGGTTGTTAATGGATGAAGCAAGAAGAGGCAAATGTTTGAGATCCAGATTTCACCCTTGCAGATCTCAGGCAAAGCAACCTTTCCTGGGGATCAGCATTCCCAGGACCACCTATGGCCTTGCAGAGGGGAGGGCCTCTTCCCAAGGCCAGCCCTCCACCATGGGCAAGGACAGCACAGCTAGAGCAGGCAGAGAGTATGCAGCCCCCAGCCCCAGACCATAGGAGTCATAAGGTCCTCCCTCTGGCCTCCCTTCTTTCCTCTCTCCTACCCTGGCAGAGCCACAGAGTGATCTGCTGGAGTGTTTGACACACCTCCTCATCTGCCTGGCATCTTCTCCCCATTAGTGATCTGCGTCACTGGTGACTGTCTTCATTAATATTAATTATGACCTTTATTAGCATATTGCCTTCCATGTAGACTGTGGTTTTTACATTTTAAGGCCTAGTAATGACTCAAATCTGCCCCAAATTTCCCTTAGTAATCCAGCCTGCATTCTTTCCACCACCATCCATTGATAACCTACTATATGCCAACCAGTCACTTCCACCTTCTCACATCACAAAGCCCTCATAGTCTGTGACATATAGTTTGATGCTTGATGACACCCTGTCTTATCTGGAACTCTAATAGCCCAGCAATGAGCAACACTGTTCATTCATCTGCACTACAGTCTCTTCCTCATGGGATGCCTGCTCTGCATATCTCTCTGGACTCATCTCTAATTAGCCTTCAAGTCCCAGCAAGTGTCACCTCCCTGTCCAAAGTCTTCTCTGACCACTGTCCAAGTAGAGCTGACAATTCCTGCTCATGTGCCCATAGAGTACCTTGAATGTACATCTGCCCTCATGTATTATACAACCAAACATTTGTTTACTTGTTAGCCTCCCCCAAGAGGCTGTGAATTCCAATAAGGCAGATATCATGTCTTTCATTCATTCATACATTGCGTCAGTCATTTTTTCCACAAATATCTATAGGCCCCTCCTGTATAACAGTCAGCGCACCTCCTGTATAACAGTCAGTGCATACTGAGTATGCAGTGGTGAATGCAGGCATGGTCCCTTCTGGCCTAACTGTCCTGCAAGGCTTCCTCATTTGCCTCCACTTCTTCCTACTTGTGTCACTTGAGTTTGCATCTAAACAGCTGCCATCTGGCATGGCTGTTTGGTGGCATGCTTTCTTTGAATTAGACCTGTGCCCCAACTACACTGTAAACTCTTTAGAGACATCATCTTGAATACATTGCCCCATCTCCTGCCTCCATCCACAAGGGAAAGGGCAGCATGAGATGAGATCTGAGAAAGAGGCAGAGGCCACATCACACGAAATCTTAGAGTTCATGTTAAATGGTGTGGGTTGCTTCCTGAGGGCAGTTGAGAGCCCCTGGAAGAGATTAAGCAGGGGAGTGACATGATGCCATCTATATTTTGGAAAGATCACCCTGGCTGCTGTGTGATGAACGGTGTGGGGTAAGGGAATAGAAACACGGAAAACCAGTTTGGAGGCTATTTCATAATCCAGTCAGGAGGTAATGATGGCTTGGTAAGAATAGTAGAAGAGAAGTGGGTGAATTCCAGATGTATTTTGAACATGGAACCCATGGGTCTTACTAATGGATTCAAGGTGGAAATTTAAAGAGGAGGAAGAAGAAAAGGAATCAAGGTTAACTCCTAAGATATGGCTCTAGCAACAGGATGAATGAACGTGAACAGAAGGATGTTTGGTAAGAACCTCTTGTGGGAGCTGGGGGGTGGGAGGGAGAAGGAATTATGAGCTCTGTTTAGTAAATGTTAAGTATGAGATGCCAGTGTAAACATCCGATGAAGACATCACATGGGCCATGTACATGAGTCTACCTAGGACTTGGAGGTGAGGTCAGACAAGGAGATAAACACCAGAAGGTCTTCAGGATACAAATGATGTTTCTAGCCTTGGGAATGAAGAATGGGGCCTAGAGAGGAGAGGGAGAACCCAGTCCCATGGTGAACGACTCCCCCACCAGCGTCACTCAGAAGCTGCACAGAGGGAGAAGGGGAATCTGTAAGAGAGACTCAGAAAAGCAGCCAGAGTAAGGAAGAAAGCTAGGAGAATGGCCTACAGAGAAAAGCATTTCAAGAAGGAAGGTATGATCAGCTAGTTGGAAGATATAAAAAGAGAAAGATGAGGACAAGAAAGTATCCAGTGGGTATGTCAACATAGAAATTGTTGGTGATTATGGCAGAGATAATGCTTATGTACTCACAAAACCAT